TCATATCACAGACATTTCTAGTCTGCCAAGTCATGGTTTTAAGCCTCCTCAGGGATTTGCATGAGCAATCACAATGTATAGCTTATGCAGTGCCGTTTCCTGATGAAATTGGGCCAAAATAAAAAAATGGGTTACTCCCAAATTGCAACAGGGCCACAATTTTAACACCCTCGGGACTGAAGCAATAAAGCAAAGGATGTCAATAAATCAACTGACAACATGCCACTGCAAGGCCCATTACAAATAAATTGGACAAGACTGCAGAACTGCTACAGCATGTGAGATACAAACCAGCCGTAAATGAATGGCTTCCCTTATCCCTGATTGGGGTGTCTAATTAATCACAGTTCATGTGGTGGGGCAGGAGACTGCTAATTAGATTTTCTTAAAGCAAAGATTTAAAGGCTTCAACGAGAAGGCCACATAGTACTCTAATGCTGAATCCAACATCCCCAATCTAACAAGCACGGCAACATATAAATATCACTCCACATAAATACTGTATATGTCAGTTAGATCATTTAGCTAAACAAATGCAGTTATTTTGAGTAATAGTTCTATTTAATTATTAAATTATGAGATCATTTTCTAAATTATGTAATTATGGGTGTCACAATTCGTGTCACAATATTCCTTTTTTAAATAAAGGTGACAATGCAAAAGCAGGGTTAAATGTGCACTATAAAACATGTAAATATTACGCTTTAGGGGCTAAAATAAGAATATTGTTGTCACGTTATTGTTTTAATTATTCAGTTGAGGAAACTTGACAGTGTTGACAGCTTGTTGGCAGTGAGCTGGACACCATTTTAACCCTCTGGTGTTCTTCTGTCATTCGACAAATACATTATGTGTGTGTTGTTGTTTTTGTTTTTTTTTACTTCTTCAGAATAGTACTACAATTTGATAAAGTATTTGGCATGTTCAATGTGAAAAAAAAAAATCATGGACATGATTCAAAAAAGTGAAAAAGTCATGAAAAAGATAGTCACACTTGATGATGGCATTGGAAATGAATGGGAAACATATTTTTTAGATATCAACCTCAAAATTTGGAACATAAATTGTTTAGATTTATGGCTTTTATAATGTTTATAAAGTTTTATAATGAAACGTTTTGAAAAATACTAGGGCTGTGCAAAAGTTAATTGCGATTAATCGCATCCAAAATAAAAGTCTGCGTGTACATAATATATTTGTGTGTGCTGTATATAAATATTTTGTATATATAAATACCTATGCATGCATGTATATGTTTAAGAATTATTTGCGCTAAAATTCTGTATATATATATATATAAATACATAATCTATATTATATAAATATAAATATTTTATATATGAATAACACATTTTCTTAAATATATACATGCATGTGTGTGTATTTATATATACAAAATAATTATATACAGCACACACAAATATATAATGTAAACACAGACTTTTATTTTGGATGTGATTAATCGCAATTAATTTTTGCACAGCCCTAAAAAATACTGCATATATTTCATATAAAAATGTGTATTTTTGTAATTTTTTTAATAACAACTTCTATAACTATATTTACTTTCTTTCACTTCAGCAATAATCTGCATCTAAATTTTTAATAAAGTATTTTTTTAAAAGAGATCAAAAAGTCTGAGCTACAAAGCATTCAAGACAAATGTTTTTGTTGGAAATTTCATTTTCAGGTATAAAAACGTGAATGAATGGATTATAGCTACTGCATAAATATCATTTAGTACCATAAAATTGCCTAAAAATACGAAACACTAAATAAAATAAAAACTTATCAAACTAAAATGCAGTACATTTAAATAAAAAACGAGCACCAGATTAAGGAAACGTAGTGTTTTTTTAATAGTTTCCCTTCATGCTATGTTATTTTCATGTTAGATAATGGTTTCTAATCTCCAACAATTATTAGTTTATCTCCCCAAGGAACATCGCATTATTGTCTTTACTGCCTTATAGCGGCCTTACACATTTTTAACATTAGGTCAACACAAGTTAAAACAGATGTTCACTGTTAGACTTCTTATTTTGTAATAAGCAACGTCCCAATGTTTTGTCAAACTGACATGATAAATGAACATCATATCTACCATATCTATTACAGTAAATATAGAACAAATGAGGTTTTGTCAATCTAATTGAGAGGCAAATGGATCAACAGTGCAGCTTTAATTTGATCTAATTTGATAGAGTTGGAGATTATACTTCCAGGAATTCTCTGGAAAATGTATACGAGTGGAGGACTTTAACTCTACACTGTAAAAAATGAATATGCTTTATCTAATCAAAAAAATTGTGGCAAGAGATAACAAGCAATATTATTAATTAAATGTAACAAATTAGAATTGAGTAATAATTAATCAACTTAATTCCTTAAAAGTTAACCATTTATAACGAATAAAACTTACAAAAACAACCAAAAAAAAACATACATGTAAGTCACCATTATGGTGATCAGTATTTGTTTTAAAATGACGGTTTTCTCCTTCAGTTATTCTGCTTGTTAACATCAGGTGTCTTCAATGTTGCCAATATAAAATAAAGAGTTATTAATTAATCTTTTTTGTTAATTTTTTGGGTGTAAACTTTACTTTTTTTTTTAAATGGTTAACTGATTAATTATTACTCAATTCTAATTTGTTAAATTTAATGAATAATATTGCTTGTAATCTGTTGGCACAATTCTATTGATTAGATAAAGCATATTCATTTTTACAGTGTATGTCTTTAAATGGTATCATCATCTTTAATACTGATATCCACAGCTTTACGAGTCAGCAAAACACAGACAGCACAATGACAAAAGAGGCTTGTGCTAAAAATCCCTGTCGAGTGAACATTTGAGTCTGATAAATCAAATTGCACTTGTTGAAACTAAGCATTCCAGACTGATTTTACACTCAAGAAGAAAGTGAAAAATCCTTTCAGAAGGGGAAAATTAAACGATACAGGATGAGCACAGTAAATCACTCCAATTTAACTGTCCAGCATCCACAATTTAATGCGGTCTTGTGGGTTACGCCTCCAGGTCTTTATAAGCAGCGCGAGACATGGGAATTTGGCTGTGATTTGCGATCTTACAGAGAACAGCTGAAAAAAAAAAAACGCAGTCTTTGAGTTCACTTCATCGTCGACCACAAGAGATGCCACTGAAGTGTTGACACGGTGGAACAACTTGCATGAAATGTATGTGCAATGCAGACATCAGACTACCGTTTGCTGAGCTTCTTTGAATTTTTTGCGTGTGGATATATGTTATAATATTACTTCAAGTTTGCATTTAAACAAAAACAGACGTTTCTCGGTAGCTCTAAAACAGTATTAAATCCAGATGCATCATGTAGTAATAAACATTATATACATACAAAAGTTAAAAACAAAATTGCATGGCAGTTTGACGAGGGTTTATGAAAGGCGGCGCGCACTGAGAGATGTGTAGAAATGCGGATTTGCATTTTCTTATCAAGTGCGAGTTGACTGCAGGATTTATGGGTGCCTGACACGTGAAACCAATCACCAAAGCAGCCAGCGTGGTGACAGTGCCCATCCGCTTCAGATTAGCGTGGCTACAGAACAATTTTCAAGTAAAGAGTGGCTTCCTTTATGAGTGTGATTAAAAAAAAAAAAATCAGACAGTAAAGTAAATTAGCCTTTTCATAAGGGCCATACAGCTGAAAACATTAGGGTTTATGGATTAAATGCAGGCCAGATTTAGAATAGCAGAAAGTACGAGATGAAGAACACGTCAGCTTTTTGTTCCCACCGTCTTCCTCTAATTCTGCAAACACACACTGTGTTCATTCATGGAATGGACCGAATTATTATACATATTAAAAGAGAAAGAAATGCATCTAAAGCCTTTATAAACAAATCAGAAATTTCATATTTCACTGCTAACACCTTGATAGATTTGAATTGGAACAAGATTGTATATTTTCTACTGTGTTGTGGGCGGTTGCCAGGGCGATTTTTGGGTGTGTTTTTTTTTTTCAAAAGGGTCATGACATTTCTTTTTTATTATTATTTTAATATGTCTCTTGAGTTCTAATTGTTATTTATTACTTTTTTTGCACAAAGAAAAAACAACAAATATACTCAAAAATATTAAATGAAAATGAATTTGCATTTGGTTTGTCTTAAAGCATATTAAAAACACCACATAGACATTAAAAGCGGTGGACTTCCAGTATTTCTGAATATCTGAATTCCAGTGTTTAAAGGGATAGTTCACTTTGAAATTAATTTGTGATATGTTTCAGGTTACCTCAAGGGCATCCAAGATGTAGGTGTCTTTGTTTCTGAAAGTATTTTCAATTTTGATATTATATTTTGATATATAATGGAGGTCTATGGTCACCACCTCAAAGAGCATGCACAGAGAAGTCCAAATTAAACGTGATTTAATGACTCGTAAATGTAAGTACACATTGATGGCCTAAGACACGAAACGAGCGGTTTGTGTGAGAAAACGAACAGTATTTATATTGTTTTTACCTCTTGTAATCACAGCCACGTCTAAGTAATCTGAGGGCGAGTGTTCTTAGTGGCTGTGGTTACAAGAGGTAAAAACGATATAAATACTGTTCGTTTTCTCACACAAACCGCTCGTTCCGTGTCTTAGGCCATCAATGTGTACTTACATTTACGAGTCATTAAATCAAGTTTAATTTGGACTTCTCTGTGCATGCTCTTTGAGGTGGTGACCATAGACCTCAATTATATGACTGACAGACAAGAACGGTTTGACTTAAAAATAAAATTAAAATTAAAAATACTTTCAGAAACAAACACACCTACATCTTGGATGACCTTGAGGTAAGCTAAAACATAACAAAAAAATTATTTCAAAGTGAACTATCACTTTAATTTTCTAAATTTCTAATTAAAAATGTAAAAAAACAAGCAGTTTTGTCATAATTACAGCAGAAATAGTGGTAATAGCTTATATCAGGGAGCCTTTGCTCTACCTATAGTGAATATTATCACCTGTAATAGAGCAATAGATGAGTCGAGGGGCTTCTTCACTCAACTCCTCGTACCCGAGTCCCATCTCTTTCAGCTTCCCGGGCAAGTAATTCTCCACCAGAACATCACAGACTTTGGCAAGCTGACGTAAAAGAGAGAGAGAGAATAAAGTGTGACCGACTGACTAGGTGTTTAAGCCAAATGTTATTTAATCTGTTACGAACGTTTACCTCAGTTACAAGTTTGGTCCCCTTTGGATCTTTAAGATTAACAGCAATGCTCTGCAAGACAGATGAATGAGGGGAGCACAGTTATAATGGTAGAAGTCATGATCCTAAGGGTTTTAAAAACATGATATTAAAAAAAAAAAACAATAATTAATATTGTTTAACCTCTTAACTGTCACCCCCCCTTTTTTGAATAGACATGAAAATGCACATTTCGAACTTAAATGGTTGTAATTCAAGAATGCTTTGGAATATAGACATATGATTGGTCTTGTTTTAAAGAAGACATCTGTCAGATTTTTGTTGAAGTGAAATGAATTAAGAAAGTGAAACAGAAAAAAAGTTATAGAAGTTTGAGTTTATGGAAATGTACAATGTAAAAATATTAATTATTCATATTTTACATAAAATAGATATTTTCAAAACCTGGGCTACTCTAAAACGGCAGAAAGATCAAAGCCAAAAATCTGAACAAGTTGTGTTTCAAATTTTAGGTTGATATCTCAAAAAATGAGCTTTCAGTAAGATTTTGTTTGAGCGCAGTACCAAACTTTTTCACTAGGGCACAACCAGACTCCATTACTGCCCATATAAGGGCGCCTGCATTTCCATTCGTGTTTTGAGTGATCTGAACCATTATTTTCACAATTTTCATACAATTTCTGAAGTAGAGATCCTATTCAGAAGTAGTATGGGAAGTTTGGCAGATTTTGAAATGAATTGAACCTCTAAGAAACACATACAAAGAACACGCATGTAAGTCATAGCTAGCAGCCACGTCACAAATGGTGAATTTATTATTTTTTTCTTAATATTTCAAACTTTTCAGACCTTTTTTTCCAAAATAATTGAATGGATTCTATCTTTTGAACTTTTGGCATGGAAACAAACTGAGGTTTCTACCATTTTTTCATGATTTTTCATGTTTACTGCTATTTTAAAATAAAGGTCTGAACACGCCTTATGAGTATGAAAATATTCTTGTTGCATATTGATAAATTATGGCTTCTCTGTAATATATTTTGAAAATCAGTCACCAAATATGGAAACTAGAGATTGTAAGCTTTCAAATGATATATAGTTTGTCAATATTATTTAAGGTATTTACTAAGATATTATTGTTTTAAAAATATAGTGGCAAACGTCCCACCTGTGGTTAATGCAAATGAGTTTCTAAATGCACTTTAATGCACTGATTTATGATTACAAACCGAACTCTGACATTAAAAACAAACCCCCCTTTTAATAAAACTTAATATGGCCTTTCTGGAATATTTTAGATCATATGCCAAGCAATGGTGTAAGGAACCATGCCATAAAAGAATCACTTTTTTGAACAGGTTCTTTGATGTGAATTGTTCAAAAGAACCGATTCTTCAAATCAAATCAACTCACCAAAAAAAAAAAACAATACTTTTTAAACCATATAAAAATATATATATTTAAACCTTATTTGGATTTTCATTCGTTACAAAGGCATAACCTTATAACTGTCTACTCATTGAATATTAAGCTTTATAAGTGATTGAATATTGAGCTTTATAAGCTTTATAATATAAGTTATGTGGGCAAATCTTTAACATTCTGTAAATCTCTAAAATCAAATTCATAAGACCTTATCTGTCAGTCATACCATATTATATGGGGATCTCTAACCCTCTTGCTTCCTTAGCAGAACAGGCGTTTGAGAAAAGAATCACTGGATCAGTTTTAGAACAGGTTCTTTGGAATGAATTGTTCAAAAGAATCGATTCTTTGAATACATTCAAATACCTTTTTGTTCCTGTTCACACTCAGAAAATAAGCGCTCTCTTCACCCACAAACGGAGGGCCCCAAGCTCTCGTGTCGTCTCCGGAGCCTGTCACACATTCACATCGGAATATAGTTCACTAGATGGCATTGTTCACTGCAATCACACACTGTTTAGATCTAAACGAAGACTCGTTTTACAGGAACTGGCAACGTGACGTGTTTAATATGATAAGTGTCATTATAGTGCAGCTGTTTAACATAGAAACAGGATTACCCAACGCAACAATATTTGCTCTAGATACATGCCTGGTCATATACTACTTTAATATATGCAAGCAAACCTTAATGAAAGGGGATTATTATCATTTTTTTCAAGAGCATGAAAGTCCTATAATCCTAATTCAATTTCAGTATATTGAAAACTGTGGCAGGGATATTCTTTAAAATATATAAAAAAAGGAAGACAATAATGGTAGAATTTCTATTTTCAGGATAAACCCAACCCTTGAAATGATGCCAACATCTTCTTAAACTAAAATTCAAGTATTATCTCACATATAAACGAATTTAAACCTCACCTGGTCGCTCAACTTTGATCACTTCTGCTCCCAAATCTCCCAATATCATAGTAGCAAAGGGTCCAGCCAGAACTCTGTATTGAACACCATAATGATAGTGTTTAAAATTAAACATTTACGTGCATATAAAGAGCTTACACTCTTTGCATTTAAATGTTACCAACAATTTTAATCACAAATCACTGGTCAGGAAATTAGATGAAGTAACTTCGCTTTAAACCTTTCTTTAAATGTTTAAGCCATGTTGGTAATTTTGCAGACAGCCTTTTACGGGAGAAGAGTCAGTGTTGTTCCACTCAATGTTAATGGCTTCAAACTGTTCATGCAGCTGAAAAAAAATTTAATGTGAGAAATATTCTCTATATGGTTCAAATCTTGACTCTGATCAGGTCAAACACATTGGTTGTCTTTGTGGGTATGCATGAGCATTGTCATGTTAAAAAAATAACATCTGATCATTCCTCATTAGTTAACAACTTTTCAGTTGTGGGAAGCAAGCCATTCTGCTGTGCTGCAGAGCATTAAATGACTTTCCCAGTGAAGAAGCAGCTAAAAAAAGCCTCTTCCTCCATGCTTTACTGTGGTAGAGATGAATTTATTATCATATTTGTCAGCAGATTTTCAGACAGCGCTCTGAAGCATCATCATGCAACTCTGAATCTCCTATATTCTGCCAAAAACTTAATTCTGTCTTTGATGCAATGGCTTTTTAAGTAATGCATTTGCTTAAATTTAGCTACGACAATTAAAAGTTTAGTGTTTTACCATTTTTTTTTTTTTGAATGGGCCCATTTTATGTAATTTTTGTATTTGATTTAGTGCCCACTCATGACATGATATGAATGTACATACCTTGTCAGATCTAAGACTTTAACGCCATCTAGTGGTCTGATCAGACCTTCACCTGTAATCATGGGGGGGATGAGTTCGCGTGATTATGATTATTAACAATCAATGAGTCAGTCAGTCAGGTAATTCATTGTATTCTGGAAATTCATTAGAAATAAAATGTATATTAAAACTACATAATCCTGTTTTATTCAGCACAAAAGGATCACTGGATCAACGTTCAGCTTGATTATGATTAACAAAAGACTGGAATCATACGTTATCTGACTTGACAAAGGGCAAGTGGGTTAAAAATTAACTTGTTGATCCTTTAGTTGTAAACAAGAACTAAAATATTTTACCACTTTAGTTTTTCTTTTAAATAGAGGAGTTAACGTCATATAGGTGCGCGTACACGTGCCACCACTACGACATAAACAAGCAGGAGTGCAAAACAATTATATTACAACAAATCAAGTGTTGTTTTCATGAAGTAAACAAACAGGTGTGCATACATGTATTTATACCATAAAATAAAACAGTATAATGATGAAATAAACGATTGTAATATTCATTTAGAGCACTAATGTTCTTGAAGGAGTGATGATCAACTGATGTGTCGCGCGCGTCTGTTTACCTAGCGGGATAATGGTCGGATTAAAATGCAGGTGCTACCTTGCAGCTTGGCAGTGAACGGTCTTCTTATATTCACATAGTTCGTCTTACTCGGTTGTAGAAACTGTGACGTTCTGCTTAGACAAGATAAAACTCTTATAAGAAATCTTCCCGACATCTTGACGCAGGCAACGCAACGGAACGTCTATTAAGCCCCGCCCCCAAGTTTGGACAAGAATCCATAGAGTAATCTTTAAACCTTTGCAATGCGAAGAACAGTGTAGAGGATGTCTTTTTGGATAATGTGCGGGATGTGTGAATCTTGGTTTGTAATACAATAAGATTTATATTGTGCATTTAAAAAAAACTGAGTTCTGCGGTTATGTCGACACATTTGACAGCACATAAAGAGGCGTTTAAGGCAGAAATGACTTCTAACTGTTGCTAAACACAGAAGTCTAACATTACCTGCAAACCGAAGCCTCCATTCATTGAAATTCATTCAAATTTTAGGATGTTTTGTCTTACAATTGTGTTTTTATTTAAATATAATTAATAAAAAAATAAATTACAGTGCGTGTTACCTAAGATACAAATTGGGAAAAAAACACCTCAAAAATCTCTAGAAAATCATTAAATAAAATGTCCTTTTCCTGTAAAATGAATGATTTGGTAAACAGCGCTGAGAAAAGTAACATCGATCACATGACCACACAACTCTTCAGCGGCGGACTGATGGGTGACTTTGACGTTGAATAACGCATAGTAATTTTATATAAGCTATTATTATATATTTATTTTACTATATAATATTATAGTATTGTATAATAAGGAAATATACCGGGCCCTTTTCCTTTCGTTCTGGCCTACAACTTGACGTCATCACTGAAAAGCCACGAGGTTTCAGTAGGTTGAAAAATACATATCCCATAAACCGTCACGCAATGCGTAATGAACCACAAAACCGTCACTAAAAAACATTACTCATTTTAAAATAAAATTAAAAGAATATCAACTATATTATTTTGCTGAACACAAAAGATGATATTTTGATAAATATATGGGCACCATTGACTTTCTTTCCCCTCCATATTCTTCACAATATAGTTTGGGTTCAGCAGAAGAAAGAAATTCATTCAGGTTTGGAACAACTTGATGTTGAGCACATGATGACAGAATTTAAATTTTTGGGTGAACTATCCCTTTGATAAATTAATTTTTAAAAGGTCTCGTTGCAATTATAATAATACTTCTTAAAATGTCTTAAAAGTGGTTTATATTTTCAAAAAAAGGTACACAAAGTTGTAATACACCCATATACTTATGTAAGAGATAATGTACAGTCAACCGGCCAATTATTGAAATATGCATAAAGTGCAATAGGATGTATTTATGATGGATCTACTCTAGTAAGCTATTTATGATTTTTAGAATTAAACTCTGACCAGCAGATGGCACAAGACACCAATCTCACACATGAATATTTACAGTGAGTAGAGCTGAAAAACTGTCCTCATATCATCAGCTATCATTAGTATATCCCCTCTAACTCCCCCCTATTATAGAACACACAAACACAAATATGATTTAATCTGATAACATTAGATTGGAATATTAGTTATTAATATAAGTTATTAGTATTAAGTGCCATGAAGTTTAAAATAATGAATATACAGCGACATGTAGCCTACTTCTGGTATTAAAATTTAAAAGTATACACTTGCCCTTTTACATTCATTTAATTTACAAAAACTTGGAAGTTTTTTAACCACACACAAGTACAAGTTACATATTATGAAGCCCCGCCCCAAACATAACCAGCCAATCGGTGGCGTGTCCGCAGAGCGCGTTCTGGTCACGTGACTGGCTGGAGTATATATAGAGAAGGTCCGCGCTGGTATAAATGAAACCAAGCCGTGAAACAAAGTCTCTTTTATTGGGGTTTCACTGCTGCTCTGGGGGAGTCCGAGCTACTAAGTAGCTTTTTACAGGTTTCAAGCATGGCAGGTATGTGACAATGAATATACTTTGTAAATTAAACAGAGCTGTTGAAGTGTAGGGGTTGGACCATCTCTACTGTAAAGTACCTGCTACGATTTATTTACATAGGCTATGTTGAGCTTTATATGTAAATTGCATCAAAAAGGTTTTAAAGACTGTGCATGTTCTTTGCATTTCTTATATGTCTGCAGGTGTAAAGTGTGCTGCTAATATTGGTTTATATACTGGTACATTCGTTGGATAACAAAACAATAATATTAAATTACGAGTTTAATATTATTGTTTTGTTATCCAACGATTCGTTGTTGAATCAAATCAATGTGCTCGAGTTCACTGAACCGCCTTTCTCGAGTGTGTTCGACTCGCAATTATCCGAGTTAACAACTACATTCAGCGAACTTAGGACCGTCTTTTTTAAATTTGTGTGACTCATGATGAGCCGAGGAATTATTAAATGGCAAAATAATTAGTTTAGCTTTTAATAGAAACATGCTAAACTTTTAAGTGGAGAGATCCTACCTGTAAAATAATTAATATTGCATGCAAATTCCTTTCTGAATGTTTTTTATGCACTGAATTATGGTTCTGAACTCTGACATTAATAACAAATTAACAATATGGCTTTTCTGGAATATTTTAGATCATATGCCAAGCAATGTTGTAAGGAACAATGCCATAAAAGAATCACTGAATCAGTTTTTGAACAGGTTCTTTGAAGTGAATTGTTCAAAAGAACTGATTCTTTGAATGAAATCAACTCAACCATATATATATATATATATATATAATATATATATATATATATATATATATATATATATACCTTATTTGGCTTTTCATTTGTTGCAAAGGCATTATAACTGTCTACTGATTGAATATTAAGCTTTGTAAGTTATGTGGGCAAATCTGCATCATTGACTTCCTACGCTTATTTTTGGGAAATCCATTGTCATGCAAGATAGTGTGAAATCAAATTCATGAGACCTCATCTGTCAGTCATGACATATTACGGGGATCTCTAACCCTCTCGCTTCCTTAGCAGAACAGGCGTTTGTCACTTTGGCCACAAATGATAGCTATGCAAGAGGAGCAATGGTGCTCGGAAAATCCCTTAGGAACCACAAGACTTCAAAAAAGCTGGTGGTGCTCATCGGACCCCATGTGTCCGATCAGTCAAGGTACGACATGTCCATTTCAGCCTCTATAGAAGTGTTGCAAACCCGTTGAACACAAAAGAAGTTGTTTTTGAATGTTTCTAGGGCAGTGCTTCATAAGATCTATGATGAAGTCAGGCTAGTGGATGTTCTGGACAGCGGGGACACGGCACATTTGGCCATGATGAAGAGACCCGATCTGGGTGTTACGTTCACCAAGCTGCACTGCTGGAGTCTCACACACTACTCAAAATGTGTGTTTATGGATGCAGACACACTGGTGAGTGTTGAGTTAAGTTGTGCCTTGTCAAAACATGCATGAAATATTTACAGTGTGTTTGGTTGCGTCACTTGAATTACGCTGTGCCTCATTAACTCAGTGTGTGAATGTAAGCCTCGGTTGCACTTAACTTGTTTAACTTGCACCAATGTGTATGTGCACCACTGAATTGTACACAATGAGACGACAAATATATATTAACCATTATGGTCTCATCCTGTAACAAATCCTCCCCTGAAGCAAAGCCCTAATACTTATTCATTTTTTGATTTGTTTGTTTGTTTGTCCAGAAAGCTTGTATTATTTTATATAATAATATGAATGATGCAGATTTTTTGGAAGATATTTTTTTTTAAACTTGTTGCATTTATTTCTAAATTACTAGATTTTACCAAAAATTTTTATATGAATTAAATGTAGCTATAACATGTGTCACTTCACTTAAATCCAAAACTCCATTACAGTACATGCAAAACAGCTGTATTAAAACGGCTCACATTTTGTGGGGGAAAAAAATATTGCACTGCTTTGTAAATTTAAACATTTAAAAAAAAAAAAATTAAAATTGCCTCTGTTATAGCCCCCATTTATTTGAATAGGAATTTCTACGTGTGTGTGCATGGTAGTGTGTTCTGCATTTAGGATGTTTTCAAGGCTGATTTATATTTCCGCAGAGGGTGTGTGTGTGTGTGTGTGTGAAACCCGAGGGAGGGGTTCGAGCAGGCCAATCACAGCGCTTGTATCCGCGTCGAACTGATGCGTTACATTTTTGCAGAGGCGCACGTCAGGGTACGCGCTTCACACAGACGTATCTACGGCATGACGTAGGAGTATAAATTGGGCTTCGTTCCTCCATTTGTGTTCTGGATTTTGCCTGTTTTTTTGTATTTTAACAATAAAATAAAATAAAAATCATGTCCCATTCATTCTTATAGGGGTCAAATTGACCCGAGAGAAAAGGATTCGTTACTATTTTTATTACAAGTCCTCATATCCTTTCGAAAAAAAAAAAATGTGTGTTCCAAGTTCAAGTGCAACAAAAGTCTTTAACCCTCGCCTCGCAGTCCCTGCTAAGAAGTGCAACATTGTAAAGCGTCTGTCTGAAATGTAAACGTAAAATGCCAACTTTTTTTTGTTATTATTGAAAACGGAGGAGGGAAATATCTCTAAATACCCAGCTAAGTGTAAATGTGGCCTGAGGAACAGGTGGCGGGAGAAACGACGATCTCTGATATTTTGAATTGCACTGCAGTACCTATTCTGACCACTCGTTGCAATTCTTAAAGACTGCCCCTTTAAGGTTTTGGACTGCTCCGATAAACAATCTATTTTTAAAAATTCAAAAAAGTCAAAATAACATGAGGAGGGCAAAATTTTGCTAAAAGTTTCACTCTTATTTGTTGGATCTAGGTGGTCTCCAACATCGACGAGCTGTTCGACCGAGAGGAGTTGTCTGCAGCGCCGGACCCCGGTTGGCCGGATTGTTTCAACTCTGGTGTGTTCGTGTTTCGCCCGTCCAACGAAACCTACGGAAGACTTCTGCAGTTCTGCACCGAGCACGGCAGCTTTGATGGTACGCCGACCACGAGCGTCTTTCCTTTCTGCTGTTGATTATAAGCATGCACTGTAGTTTCGGCATCTGCCACTTTAAAGAGTAACTAAACACTTAACCAACTTTTTTTAGTGATCTGTAAGAATGGATCTTTATTAATACCAGTCATTGATTCGAGTAACTTTTTTGACATTTGTTTATAAAGTGTTCCATTTCTACAATATATGGTGTAAAAACGTCTTAGTGCTGCCCTCTTCAGGTTGAACGGTGGCTAATGCAGTTGAATTTTCCTATTGGATGTTTCGCACTTTGTGACGTACCCAGGTTTCAGCTCACCACACGAGCTACACCCTTGGCAGTATAAAAACCAGCTCATTTCGTCAAAACCACTGTAGGGAGTCAGGAATTGGAATTGTGAGTATTGAAAATGATCAGGATAGAGTTTTAGCATCTATTTCATCCCCTCTATCTCCGCTGGGGTCTGCCCACTTTTTCAGCATTTTCAAATATTGCCAGTGGGTGGAGTCAGGCTCTGACCAGGGGTTTAGTTACCCTTTAAATGCTCAAGCTCTTTAAAGCAGGATGGATTCAGATTGGCTGTCAATGTTTATGGTTTGTCAACTGGACAACATTGTTCTGAAAGGGATTCCAACTATGTTGTTCCATTGTGTTGTTATAGCTGTGGTGTGGCCTATTCTCACAGAACTGGAATTCATATTTTTATATATATTTCTTTTTTAAATTCATATTTTTAGTTATCAATAATTCCCGTCCTTGGATTTTTTTTTTCTTCCTAAGCTGGAGGGATGCAATTTACTCTCTTATTTAAAATATTTAAAGTGAGAAATTTCGAAGAATGTTCCCGCTGCTCTTTTCCACACAACGAAAACTAAACAAAAAGTTCCCATATGCTAAAAGGCACCACCAGTTCGAATGACACATGCATTACAGTATATTCTGAATCCTTTACAATACGTGATGTTGAATGACTGCGGACAGTGAAGGGCAAGAATTTTAGTAAATAACTTGCATGTCTTTTTCTCAAACAAAGTGATTGTATGACTTAGAACACATTAATATGGTGCGAGTCATATAGACCAGTGGCCTGATGTGTAAACGTTGCATTGAAATGTTCTTACGCAATTTTCCATGCACATATCGGGATTTATAAAAAATAACCTTGGTGCACATGTGTGCGCACCGTACAGACACTCGACTGTGTGTACACTCTTAAAAATGCTGGGTTATTGTAACCCAATTTTGGGTCAAATATGGACAAACCCAGCTGTTGGGTTAAATTTATAAATTGCATTTTTTAATCCAACAATTGGGTTTGTCCATATTTGACCCAAAATTGGGTTAAAACAACCCAGCATTTTTTAGAGTGTACACTCATTTACTGAAGTAAGCAAAGTAATGAAGTGAACATAATTATTTAAACTCTGTTTTTCATTTGAACATTGCCATTTCAACATTTAGATTAATTAGTAAGCATTTTACATAAGCAAAATAGTTTGCATTTTCAGGCCCTCAAAACACTGTAAATGAGCGACCAAAATGCATTATTTTTTTCTTTTTATGAAAATCATGTCATGTAAAACGACCCCCTGTTATAGATCAATTATAGCTGAAGTAACTAATCAAGGTCTTCAGACTCCAGATAGCAGGATTGGACACCGCTGGTCTTGAACGGATGGTAAACTGACATTTGTTCAAGCAGCTCTTGTGTATCTCTATGGTGATTTGGGTCTCATCAAGGCCAGACGTGGCTAAATAAAGGAGGCTTCATCCTTATCATTCTCTCCATTCCAGTCGAAACAACATCTCGGCAGATCGTCACACACCCATCAGTTTGACGTGCGCTCATCTCACACGTAATGTCAGCACTATTAACTCGTCCTTCCTTGTTTGCATCACAAAAATGATCTCAAGCAAAAAGTTCCCAACAGAGCCTCCCGAGTATTGCCCAACACAGCTGGTTCATGAGGAATCTGGCACAAGCGCTCATAGCGAACAAAAGCCCTTTCAAGGCATCTCTTTTTCCTTTTCTTTGGGAGCCAAGGGCCATTTTTCTACAGCCACCTCTTGGCATAGTTGATTGTTACGCAACTTTTATGGGTTTTCGTAATTTGGTAAAATGGCTAACAGGACAAGCGCATGCATGTTTCTCTTTCCCTTCGCTTTGTTTTTTACCTGTTAAATGCTGGACAAATAATTGTTTGCACATGCCAGCTTGTGCGAGTGGCCTTTAGGAAACTGATGTAAAGTTCTGGACCCGTTTTCAGCTCGACGACACAGTGAACCCATTCTTATACGAGTCCAGTTGGGCGTTTGAGTGTGACCGTTGAGGAACCAATCAGATTGCAGCGTTTTGAGGGAGGGCTCTGATGCGCTTTCTGAAATTAATTGGCACCGCTTCCATTATGGAGACTGGCAGCTTTTCAAGAGCCTGATTATTATGCTTTTGTGCTTCCACTGAATCCGGTGGTTCATAATCGGGGTTTGTGCTTCTTGCAGGCCGTATAAATGCACCATCTTGTCAGCTTGAATTTTCAGTCTATTTTTGTGAAGTGACCATCCTCTGCCCTGTTTGACACGTTAATGCTCTAATGGTCTGGTAATTTGTAATGATTGCTTTATTTTTAGCAGGGCTAGTTTGTCTGTGGTCGTAACCGGGATAGTTCGAACTCTTCATGACTGTTGCCATGTCTCATGGTTTAATGAAGCTAGTGTCGTAGTTCCTTCCTTCCCAAACTCATTCACATTTTGGAAAGAAAATGTTTAAGTGATGCTTAAAGTTTTTCTATGCCACATGTTTTGCTCACTTTCAGAGTGTTGGGGGTTTTAAACTAAAGCAATTCAAAGAACACAGGGTATGTTTAGTAAGGATCTCTGTGATCTGCAGTTTCAAGAGGAGTGTCAATATATCGCAATACAAAAATGCATCAATAGTTATAAAATAAAAATGACTGTGTGGGGAATATTTGAAGTTTTCTGAGATTTAGTGTCAGTACTACATTAAACTACTATATATAATGCAATAGGGTAATATTTGTGGGTACTGATAATGCTAAATGACTTTTAATCAGTAAAAAGTGTCTTACATTATTTTAAATATAATATCTAGTCGGTGAAAGAGTGCAAGCATATTCGTCTAAAATAATACTGTATTTTCAGCTTCTGAATCATGACTATTTTATTCTGGTGTCACTATGGGCTCTATGCACGGCGGTATTTCCGGTGAAGCATTAGGGATGCTCGATAACTTCCGCCGATCATAGAGTCCAATGCAATACCGAGAATTTATATTGAATTTTATACTCCATGGTTATACTAATGAAACGTTAGTCACAAAAACAGATAAAACAGACACCCCTCATTGTGTTTATGCTTCTTTTTAAAATTATATTAAATAAACATAACTATATATAAAATTACATCTAAACGTATGTACGTTTCGTTTCAAAGACGGGAGGACAGTAAATATTGAAGACTCTGCCATAATCCCGTTTTCTCCGGTTTTCCTCCGCTTTAATCTACACAACCGGAAATGGACGAGCATCCTTACGTCAAATGCGGAACTTATGCGTGCATATAGCCCATTCTCCTGTGCTTTGGGTTTCCCACAATGTAATGCTAAATGTAGCATTTTAATCAACGGTGAAAAACATGTAACCTTTAATCAAACTGCATGTCTTGGAGTATCGTGATAAATTGTATCGCGAGTCCAGTATCGTTATGATATTGTATTGTAAGTCCAGTATCATGATATTGTATCGCGAGTCCAGTATCGTGATCATATTGTATCGCGAGTCCAGTATTGAGTATCGTGATGATATTGTATCGCGAGTCCAGTATTGAGTATCGTGATGATATTGTATCGCGAGTCCAGTATCGTGATCATATTGTATCGCGAGTCCAGTATCGTGATGATATTGTATCGTGAGTCCAGTATCGTGATGAAATTATATCGCGAGTCCAGTATCGTGATGATATTGTATCGTGAGTCCAGTATCGTGATGATATTGTATCACGAGTCCAGTATCGTGATCATATTGTATCACGAGTCCAGTATCGTGATGATATTGTATCGTGAGTCCAGTATCGTGATGAAATTCTATCGCGAGTCCAGTATCGTGATGATATTGTATCGTGAGTCCAGTATCGTGATGATATTGTATCGTGAGTCCAGTATCGTGATCATATTGTATCACGAGTCCAGTATCGTGATGATATTGTATCGCGAGTCCAGTATTGAGTATCGTGATGATATTGTATCGCGAGTCCAGTATTGAGTATCGTGATGATATTGTATTGCGAGTCCAGTATTGAGTATCGTGATGATATTGTATCGCGAGTCCAGTATGGTGATGATATTGTATTGCGAGTCCAGTATTGAGTATCGTGATGATATTTTATCACGAGTCCAGTATCGTGATCATATTGTATCGCGAGTCCAGTATCGTGATGATATTTTATCACGAGTCCAGTATCGTGATCATATTGTATCGCGAGTCCAGTATGGTGATGATATTGTATTGCGAGTCCAGTATTGAGTATCGTGATGATATTTTATCACGAGTCCAGTATCGTGATCATATTGTATCGCGAGTCCAGTATCGTGATGATATTGTATCGCGAGTCCAGTATTGAGTATCGTGATGATATTGTATCGCGAGTCCAGTATTGAGTATCGTGATGATATTTTATCACGAGTCCAGTATCGTGATCATATTGTATTGCGAGTCCAGTATTGAGTATCGTGATCATATTGTATCGCGAGTCCAGTATCGTGATGATATTTTATCACGAGTCCAGTATCGTGATCATATTGTATCGCGAGTCCAGCATGGTGATGATATTGTATTGCGAGTCCAGTATTGAGTATCGTGATGATATTTTATCACGAGTCCAGTATCGTGATCATATTGTATCGCGAGTCCAGTATCGTGATGATATTGTATCGCGAGTCCAGTATTGAGTATCGTGATGATATTGTATCGCGAGTCCAGTATTGAGTATCGTGATGATATTGTATCGCGAGTCCAGTATTGAGAATCGTGATGATATTGTATCGCGAGTCCAGTATTGAGTATCGTGATGATATTGTATCGCGAGTCCAGTATTGAGAATCGTGATGATATTGTATCGCGAGTCCAGTATTGTGATGATATTGAGTATCGTGATGATATTCTATCACGAGTCCAGAATCGTGATGATATCGTATCGCGAGTCCAGTATCGTGATGATATTGTATTGCAAGTCCAGAATCGTGATGATATTGTATCGCGAGTCCAGTATCGTGATGATATTGTATCGCGAGTCCAGTATTGCAAAGTATTGCGCAAAAAAGGAGGCGTGTTTCGGCACAAACATTCCCTGCTGCTGTTTTGCAGTTCCAGAAAATAGTTGCGCCACTGACCAGAAAAAAGCTGGTCTAAAGTCAATGGCGTGTTGTGTGTACATGATATTTTAAGCACGCATGCTTGGCCACAAGAGTGTGAACAACGCGCATACACTGTAGAAGATTCTCACATCAGATGCATTTTACTTTTTGGCGTTTTACATCGATAAAATAGGGGCCCTAGTGTTTTGTGTAAGGAAACCAGTCAAATCAGTTTTGTTTCGTTCAGACATCTGGCATTCAAACATCAGTGTGTTCTCTCGTACCTGTAGAGTGCATTAGACAAGCCTCTTTCCATTTCCTCATTTATTACAGTCCTGATGGCCTCAGGCTATCATGTGGACTTGTTCTCATCCTCTGCCAATGTAAACCAGCCTGAGACTATGTACATTCCTGATCATCCCATCAAAATGAACACTTCAAGACTGCAGTGATGTTTGTAGAGCCACATGCAGAAGGAAAGCCCCGGGGTCCGATTCTGAGCCCTGTTTCTGGGCTCCTGACGGCACGCCCAAATAAACTGGCTGTGGATTGGTTTAGCTGGTAAACCAGCATGCTTTGCAAGCACGTTATTCTGAATGCTCCAGCTTGTTAGATAATCTGTGTAGGGCGCGTAGCATTATTTGAGTTTCAAAAGCTCTTTCTTTAGCTGGCAGTGAGGGTGCTGTATATGGTTTGTGCTCAGTCTATATTAATTTCCTCATATCGTGCGCATGGCCTGTCCTGGAGCAAACATTCATGTGTTTAAGTGCAGAGGATGGCAAATCTAAGCGCAGGCTCACACACGGGTCTCTTTCTGCAGGCCATGGACATAAACAACTCGAACATGAGCAACGTCTTCTTGGGGCCCGTTCTGCCCTCACATGAAACTTCAGATTGTGCAGATTCGTATTAAAATGACTGGATTTTGCCTGCGAAATTCCACCAAACAGTAAATGATATTTCCAATGTGTATTAACTTTTTTCCCACCAGTAGTTTTGATAATTTAAAGCCCCATTCTGTTATTTTTTACATTTTGCTCTCAGGGTCCCCCTACAGTTGGGAAACAGTATTGTCTTCTACTACTGTCATAAAATCTGTCATGGTTACGCTAGGGAATACACGCGTGCATTTGTTGACAAGTGATGCCCCCGAACTCTGCAGAAGGAACGAGTTCTCACGTCTTGGGCAGACTCCAGTGTTGCGTGTGAAATGTTCATCCCAGGTATATTGGCATATATTTCAGCATGTCTTATGAATATAGTGTCATGGGTAGGGTTGGGTATCGAGTATCGATTGGAACCGGGACTAACTTTTAGTTTTTCCCGGAATCGTTCAAAAGTAAAAATTTTGATTCCTAGTTTCGATATTCACAGTCCGCCGAGCGGAAGAAGAAACCGCTGAACAACACCAACGAAGAAGCGTCTACCGGAAGTGTTGGCATAACCGCGCGAGTCGAACATGAGTAGCTTACGTCGACGGTCCAAAGTGTGGCTTCACTTTTCTAAAAATAACGAAATCTCGGCAAAATTTGTGACAAAAGGAGTATTTCCTTCAGAAAGGATTATTTCCTTCAGAAAGGCCGTTGGTTAGCAAGGTTAGCTAAACTTTTTTGACCCTGCCTCTTAAAAGAATCGGAATCGAGAATCGTTAGGAACCAGAATCGAAACAAGGAATCGGAATCGGAATCAGAATCGTTCAAATTCAAACGATACCCAACCCTAGTCATGGGCTTGCGTAAAAAAGATCACGTCGCTCACGTTTACAAGCCAGCGTTTTTAGTAACGTTAACCTATTGGCTACTGTTTTACATAATGGATATGCTAATTCAATTCAATGTTTGTGTGGTAGATAATAGCCATGTCGTCAATATTATAATATCAAGCTACCATAGTATAGATGAATCTGCAAATTTGAAAAATTGATTTGCATTATAGCCTGAGGCAAGACACTTTCACCTGAAAAATAAATAACAAACATGACTATCAGCCTGTAGACATAGGATAGTTATCCTGATCGATTATTTTGTCCGTCTAATCATGTATTATTTACTTGCAAAAATGTAGCCCCTACCAAGTAATCAGTATACATTCACGTCTCGAGCTGGCGCGAGCTGCCCGCCCGGGCTCTACGGGGATGCTTGAGTGTGTTAAGCGCCCTCAAAAGAAAGCAATGCAGTCTACATTGGATGTGGCGATGGGCCAAGCTACACAACACATTACCAACAGTAAACTGATCGCCCGCGTGCTCTTTTTCTGACGCACTTCACGTTTGGTTTTACTTGCTGCTTCAGGAGTCGATCGAGTGCATCAACACCCTTAAAGCTTCACAGTTCTGTAGCTCATCCTGGGTCGACACTTCATTCACTATCGTGTTATTTTTACACACTTTACCACCTGACATGAGGGTGTTTAGATGATGACAGAATTTTTATTTTTTTGGTGAACTATCCCTTTAATGCTAACCAGCCATCAGTGTCTTCAGGAGTGCTATTAATATTGCCGGGTCCTGTTTAGCAGACACCTGATCTTAATACAGGCTAATTAAACATACTGACACGATTAAAACAAGCACTGAAAGGCTGTGTCATGCTGTAACATGTATCGCCGTGTCTGTGACGTGTCCTTGCTGACCTTTAAGCATGCATGCCGTCTGCTCTTTCAGACCGGGATCTCTTTTAGATGTGTAGGGTCTTTTTTCAACTAGTAAGCACCTGGGCACATTCCTCTAACGGGAGTAAAGAGCCTAACTGGGCTTCATATTATTATTTTAAATTTCCCTACAATGCTATATGATAGCCATCACATTGCTGAGCATCACAGAACTTATTGTTGGTGTTTGCTAATTTTGATTCAACATACTGTATGCAGTGTCATCTACACAATATTGTTTGCAACTGAAACTAATTTTCACTCACGTGTAGTCTGCAGCTTTGGGACTCTGTCCGCCTCTGTCGCCCCGCACTGACTCTGAGCAAACAGATCAGATTTCATCACATGCAAAATGACAGTAGGAGGATAGAACACCTTATAAACAACCAAAAGACTGATAAAGAATATTAGAAGCTATGGGGACACCTTAGCAACCCCATAGCAACAGCCTAACATTGAAGTGTATAAAACAAAATCAAAGTTCTAAAAGGGAGTTTTCGCAATCATTCTGGGTTCCACAAAGAACCTTTAGTGAACACTTTTTTTTCTTAGTGCAAAGAGTATTTGGTAACACTTTAGAATACGGTTCCTTCGTTAATGAATAACTACACAAGAACTAATGAGTAACACAATATTAACAATCTAGTAACTATTATTACTCAAGTGTTACTACATGATGATGATCTAGTCATGATTTGTGCAAATGTTTGAGATTTTTTTGGTGAACTTTAGTAACTTTTAGAAAATGTCTTTAGTAATACTTGAGTAATTACTAGTTAGTTCCAATAATCTTCACTTTATAATACGAATCCAAATAATTAGTAATTCCCACAGAAGTATCTAGTAACACTTTCATCTGTGAGCTATTACTTACTAATTCGTTAATAAGAGTTTATTTTAGTTAATAGTACTTCCTAGATTGTTAATAAACTTTTTCAGTAGTTCTCTGGGAAGTATTAAAAAAATAGTAGTTATTGATTTAGTTAATAGTGAACTACCACTTTCGTCTGTGCGCTATTACTTACTAGTTCGTTAATCAGAGTTTCTTGTTAGTTAATAATAGTTACTAGATTATTAATATTGTGTTACTCATTAGTTCTTGTTATTCATTAACGAAGGAACCGTATTCTAAAGTGTTACCGAGTATTTTAATCAATGCAATTATTTAAATGATTATTTGTTTATATGTATTCATCTAATTGTTTTTATATATTCATTATTTAATTTATTTTCATTTAATTAACCTTTGCATTCATTTAGTTTATTTAGTTTTTTTTGTTGTTGTTCATTTGCTTCATTTAATTTTTTTTATTTTGTATTTTATTCATACATTTTAAGTAGGGCTGTCAAACGAAATCGCATCTAAAATAAAGGTTTGTGTTTACATAATATATGTGGGTGGACTATGTATATATATATAAATACACACACATTTATCTAAACACAAACCTTTATTTTGGATGTGATTAATTGCGATTAATCGTTTGACAGCCCTAATTTTAAAAGTTTTTATTTAAGTGATTTTCATTCATTTTAGTTATTTATAATTTAATTTATTTAGTCATTTTTTTTGTTCATATTAATTTTGTTTATTTTTATATATTCGTCATAAACTTGATTTTTTATTTTTATTCATTTCATTATTTGCAATTACACACTTTAGTGCTTAATGAAGTGCTTTTAATTGTGTTTAAAGTGTTCTAAATTCTATTGATAAATGAAATGGTCAATTCCATTTTAAGTGACATTCATAATTAAGTGTTTGTCCAATAGGAGGGGACCAAGGCGTCCTGAACGGCTTCTTCAGCGACTGGGCAACAGCTGACATCACAAAACACCTTCCTTTCATCTACAACATGAGCAGCGTCGCCATCTACACTTACCTTCCCGCTTTCAAACAGTGAGTGTGACTCCTCCTCTTCAGCGGCCCTGTTTGACACTATATCATTGATCTTGGCATGCGCTGGCCTTCAGGAAGGGGACAGTAAGAGGATACACACCAGTCACATGAGTTTGCTGCTTGTGCCTTAACATCAGGTTACATGAGGAAAGAAGAGTGAGACGGAGCTGAGAATGAGTGTCACAAAATCATTTCAGGAGACTCTCTCTAATACGAAAATATTTTCTGCTGCTGGTAGTAATAGTGTGCATTGTATGTATTTATTATTTTTAGTATTTATATGTATTTATTTATTTTACACCATTTACCATATTTAAATACGATTAGCTGATTTAAACCTACATAAAATGTGTGAAGAGTGAACAGATTTCAGTACTTTTAACCAGTTAAACCATTGTGTATTACTTGACCTCAAAGCAATAAACGCATTTTGATGCTTTTAAATCCATTGATAAACCTTATGGACACCTATCAAGTGTTCCACATGAGAGTGGAAGTTCTGCAGCAAAATTAAAGAGCGGAGCATATAGGGTCGTTCACATGGATCTGCGAAAACGACTAAGAACTCTGTTTTCTGCCGTCAGGCCAGTAGGTGGCGATGTCACTTTGTAAAGAAGTTTATGTGCCTATAAACTGAACGCGTAATGACGTCACCGATTTCACAGATTCATGTTTTTGTAGTTTACACAGAGACGATAATCGTATCATTTTCAAAGTTTCACTTTGAAACCCGTTTTCAGGCCCACAAAACGCTGTTATCTTATAAATGAACAAGGGATGCATTTTTCTTCTATGCATCGTGATGCGGACGTGGATCAACCCTGTTCTTTAGCGAATCCTGACTGTAGTTTATGCTGGCATAAGCAGTTAGTAAATCTTGCACTTAAAGGGATAGTTCACCCAAAAATGAAAATTGTCATTAAGGGTGCGTTCATGTGCTAGGGTAATTATGGTAAATACCAAAAGCCGACGTGGAAAATGCAGATGAACACCCCCTAATGTGGTATTTTCCACTGGGCAACTCATAGAATATTTTGATGGACGAGTTGCCGAGATGAGAGAACCTTTGACCACTTCAAAATGGCGGAGAGCAACGCGAGAGTCGTGAATGGTAAAAATGTATACTATTCATGGTCTAGATAGAAAATATACAGCATATTATTTACCATTTGAGTTTTGATAAAATCATTTTATTGCTGTTGCAGATGACTTAAGCAATCTAAAATAGTTTTAGCTAAATAACAGGTCTCCATCTTTTTACCACATTACGAAAACAAAAGCACTTGAACGCAACACACTGGTAAATACCAGTTCACAAGTGGAAAATATCATATTTTCCATAGCACGTGAACGCACCATTACTCATCCTCAAGTTGTTCATACTGGTGCATACAGGTTTAGAATAACTTGAGGGTAAATAAATGAAGACAGATTTTTAATTTTTGGGTGAACTATCCCTAGTCTTTCTGCCCACAGATATGGTGCAAATGCAAAAGTGGTCCACTTCCTGGGACAGATGAAGCCGTGGAGCTACACGTACGACCCCCGGCAGAGGCGAGTGCGCGGGGACGTGGCGGCGGCGGCTCACCCCGGCTTCCTCCTGGAGTGGTGGACGCTGTACAGCGCTGAGGTGGTACCCATGCTGACCCGAGAGTACGGAGACCAGCCCTTCTGCTCCGGCTGTGAGGTCAGACCACACATAATACAATAAACAACCCTTTCTATGAGTCTTCATGGCTGTCTCACAATTCTCATATTTCTACTCGGGGACTAAAATTATCGAGTGTCCCTTGTAGGGCTGTCACTTTACGTTCGAACATCGATTGGACCAACCATAGGGAATTGATTTTAACAGCATTTTTTTTTAGGTGGACAGATCAATACAGTTCACAGAGCATGTAGGATGTTGGAAAATAACAATGTTATGTTAAAGGAGTAGTTCACTTCTAAAAAAAATTAAATTTTTAATAATTTACTCACCCCCATGTCATCCAAGATGTCCATGTCTTTCTTTCTTCAGTCGAAAAGAAATGAAGGTTTTTGATTAAAACATTCCAGGATTTTTCTCCATATAATGGACTTCAATGGGAACCAAATGGTTCAAGGTCCAAAAGACAGTTTCAGTGCAAACTGTTCAAAGGGCTTTAAACGATTCCAGACGATGAATAAGGGTCTTATCAAGCGAAACGATCGCTCATTTAAAAAATAAAAAAAAAAGTGAACAAATCTTTTTTCCGAGTCAATTCGTTTATTTTGTCCGTTGAATCAACTAAATGACTCGAAAAAATATTCTTTCATTTTGATGAACGAATTCGAACAGGAGAGTCACAAACGCGCATCACAGAACAGAGCAAGGCGACCATTTGAGCTTATAAAACTTAAACTTTGTTATTTTTTTTTTTTAAAGACCGCTCGTTTCGCTTGATAAGACCCTTATTCATCATCTGGTGTCGTTTAAAGCCCCTTGAACAGGTTGCATTTTGCACTGAAACGGCCTTTTGGACCTTGAACCATTTGGTTCCCATTGAAGTCCATTATATGAAGAAAAATCCTGGAATGTTTTCATCAAAAACCTTAATTTCTTTTCAACTGAAGAAAGAAAGAGATGGACATCTTGGATGACATGGGGGTGAGTAAATTATCAGCAATTTTTTTTTTTTTTTTAAAGTGAACTACTCCTTTAACTAAATGCTTTTTAATTTTCGCTATTACTTCAATGCAAACGAACAAGCGCACCGTTATTTGTTGCTTGGTGACATGTGTGTGTGTGTGTGTTCAAGTAAGCCAGAAATGCGCAGATTCTGTGCAATTTGTTGTATTTAATATCAGAATCAGAATCCAAAAGAGCTTTATTGCCAAGTGTGCTTGCACACACAAGGAATTTGTTTTGGTGCTGAGGCTTCCAGTGCACATATACAAATACAACAAGAAACATAGTAATAAAAATTATAATAAATAATTTAAATATAAAAAATATGAGAATAAAAGTATCACCGTTGGGTTCCCGCAAATTTGGCTTACACGAACTTCCACAGGAAAGAAAGTGAGTAAACATAGAAACACGCCAGATTGGCTCGTGGTTTGACAGCGTTTCCCGCCAAAGTTCATTTTTACCCACATTTGGCGGGTCGGGGGGTGTTAATTTCAATCCCTGAATGTTGCACTTGTGTTTGTCATTGTACATGAAACTTCACGCCAATAAATCATCAGAAATATTGCTGACCTCTTTACGCCCTCTTTACGTTCGTCCTAATTCCTGTTAGGTGTCTGTGGATTTGCCTATATTTGGTGTTGAAAATGGAAACGTCTTTAGACACGGAAAATCATGGAAAATGTCTCAAATCAAACAGGATTTTTTCACAAAAGTGACAGCCCTAGTACTCGCCAGTTGGCTGGTAACATTTTTATGAATTCTGACAATTCTCATTTCATTACTCGTGTGCTGTGTGGAAAGTTTTGTGTGCGCGCCACGTACATCCGAAGCGCTCGCCCAGACAGCCGCGTCTCTGGCAGCGCGCAAACACCAAACTGAGCTCTTTCACATCTCCTTGCACACGACTGGACAAATTCCCACAAAATTATGTCAATAAAAATAAATAAATCTAGCATCCTTGTAAACCTAGTCTGTTATGTCTTGAGTGAATGTACAGTTGAGAAAGTAAACGGATGTGTACAGTATCAGTAAATTAGATAAGTGACAACAGCCTAATAAACCTGCTTTCTGTCCTTTGCGGTTTTGATTAACATTAAAAACAAAGATAAAATCACTCGCTGCTCTTGACTGCATAGTCTTCACTGTATAAATTAAACATCCTTAAAGGAGACGAAAAATTTTAATTCATTTCATTGTAAGTCTTATATACTGTATGCTCTGGGGACTGTCATCCCATTCAGTTCTCATAATTTTTTTTTTTTTTTTTTTTTTTTTGCATTTACCTATTAGCATCTAACTAATTTCCTATAATAATAACAATAATAATAATTAATTTAATAAAATTAAATTAATTTTAATATAAAATATTAAATTTTTTATATTAGATATATAATATTTCAACAAATATAGGTTGAAATAATGGGGAAAAGGTCCCCTTTTTTTTAAATAAATATAAAAATAAATATACATGACCAGGTCTAGAAATCACAATTTTACAATTAGTCAACCTCATATTTCCAGGTTTTTCAAGACTGTGGGAATCCTGGTTCTTCAAAGAGGGTCATTTTGGTTTGGTATTTGCTGGATTAAAAAACTAAACTTATGTATATTTCAGAATAAAGATTTATTATTCATTTCTAGAAATCACACAAAATTAGTCTGCCTCATAAATCCACTATTTTCAAGATTGTGCTAATCCTGGTCCAGTGAATTAAAAAAAAAAAAATCTAGGTTTGTAGAAGTTTTGGCTTATTTTAATGGTTGTTTCGTCTGATTTGAAATAATGAAGTAGTCTTGAGGTCCTTTGGTTCGGTTTCAAAACTGCTGTGGCAGTCTTTCAAACTGTCCAGAACTTGTAAGTTGACCATTTTTTAATTATTTGTATTAAATGAATGTGTTAATTGCCTGTATTCTTCTGTTGTCAACAGGAGGATGCTGGTGAGAGCGAGGCGGTGTGTACTCAGACACTCGTGTCCTCAGCCGAGCGCAAGCAGAGATGGGAACAGGGCCAGGCCGATTACATGGGAATAGACTCTTTTGACAACATTCAGAAAAAGCTTGATGTTTTCCTTAAATAAAGTTACAATTTTAAACACACAAACTCAGCCATGCAAGTGCCTCACATTGCGATATGCTAATTCATCACACTCTTTGTCTTCATACAAGCATTTATTGCCTGAACTTTACCTTTGAACCTCATGCAAAATGTGAATTCTAATATACTTAGCAATTCTTCTGATTCATAAAGGGAGTTTTGGGCCTCAGAAGTGTTGGCTTTCTCTTTCACTAGCTCAAAGTGCCAATATTGTAATGGTGTACTCGCCATGTTGCCAAAAGTTATCAATGAAAAGTAGTTTAAATGTCACTGGATGTAATGTGCCAACTTGTTTACATGTTTTCTCTCCTTATACACTGCGTCCCAAATCAAATACTTCTCTACTATGTAGTATGTGAAAAAGAATATCAGTATGAAAAAAGCAATGTAAAGTTCCCAGATGTCCTACTACTTCCAGCGAGATTTGGAAATGCACATTCACTGGACACTGCTGTGTCCTAAATCACAGGTTTACTCTCTTAAGTTGGTACTTATTTTGAATAATTACCTCACAACCTCTAAAAAAAGTGTGTTCTATATAGTATTGGATGTGTGCAGTTTAAATAGTAGTAGTTTAGGCAACTGCATTAGCCATTATGTGACCTTCCTGCATCAGTTGCTTCACTGTCATTCATAAATCCTCTCCCGTGGCCTCATGGGATGGTAGTGTTCATGGGATGCACCTATTTTTTACAGTCTATGGTATGCACACTTCAGAATCTCACCGGAAGAAGTAGGTCATCTGGGTACTTTTTGCCATATCTTTTATGAGGCAAAGTGAAATCAGGCCTACTTGTCACACTCTGTTTTTCATCTGTATTGATGTTGGGAAGAACGCGATTTATGACGCTATAGCTAGGTCACGTGACCATAACATGGCATATGTACGTCCGAATTTCATTCAGAACATACTTTTTTATAGTTCGTCAGTCAAAATTCAAAATAAGCTACTTATTTGGACGCTGCAATATTGTATATTTTTTTTCGGATAGAGGAACGAGAATGATAAAGTGACTGATTACACGTTAACCAGCGGTCCAAAAAGTGTCTAAATTGGTGTAGTCTCTTGAAAAAGTCGCTAATCTACAGGCCTGTGTAAGGCAGTTCGAGTCCCGCTCGTGTTGATCGCATAATAGGCCTACTTACGTCTATATTAATTATTGGCCTATAATTATATTTTAAAGAAGACAAAATGTTTTGTATTGTTTAATCTACATTAGTCTATATTTTTTTTTTTTCTTTTTAAAGGTTTTTGAGTGTTTTTTTTTTTTCTTTTTCTTTCGTCACCCTATATTCACATGTTGGATGGTGAATTTCTGTTAACATCTGTTGTTATCATTGTGCAATTGCCACTTGTTTTTCCTCATCATCTTTTGATATTGTCTATATTTTTATTTTCTTTCTTTTTTGTATCCGTTTCCTTTTATTCAGTGTTACAGGGCCTTTACCCCCGGCCATAAAATAAAGCTTTTGAAATGATCGTGTGTGTGTGTGTGTGTGTGTGTGTGTGTGTGTGTGTGTGTGTGTGTGTGTTGATAGCCTGGTAAATTTACTGTAGCCTAATGCATAATAGCCTACGCAACAACTTATTTGGCCTCAATGGTAGGGAACATCTTTTACCAGAACCAGGTTTGTAATTGAAGACTTGTTCTTAACAGACACAGGCATATGAGTGTGAATTGAAAACGACAATCCAACAGAGATGGAAAAAAAAATGTAATTATTCATTCATAAATTATATTACAGCGACACCATATGGTTCATGGTGAAACTGCTACATTATCGTCTTCTTTATAAATCCTCATCTTACAGTTCTTCTTCATCAACTGTTGGACAGGTTACACGCGGACACAAATGGTTTATTATATATATATATATATATATATATATATATATATATATACACACACACACACACACACACACACACACATATATGAAGAGTTCAGATGCAAAAGCCTCTAAATGCCATTTGAAATTTTCTTCTTTAATGATGATTTTTATCAAACTTGTATATTTAAGTTCAGTAATTTCACTTAAATAACAATTAATAGGTAATTATCATTGCCATTTAAGTGAAATCACTGAACTTAAATATACAAGCTTGATAAAAATGATCATTTTAGAAGAAAATTTCAAATGGCACTTAGAGGCTTTTGCATCTGAACTCTTCATATATATATATATATATATATATATATATATATATATATATACATATACATATACATATATATACATATATATTTGAAGAGTTCAGATGCAAAAGCCTCTAAATGCCATTTGAAATTTTCTTCTTTAGTGATGATTTTTATCAAACTTGTATATTTTATTTCATTAATTTCACTTAAATAACAATTAATAGGTAATTATCATTGCCATTTAAGTGAAATTACTGAACTTAAATATACAAGTTTGATAAAAATCATCATTAGAGAAGACAATTTCAAATGGCATTTAGAGGCTTTTGCATCTGAACTCTTCATATATATATATATATATATATATATATATATATATATATATATACATACATATATATTATACACAGACACACACACACACATGGACCCACAGTTTATGAATTAGAAATAGAGCGAATACGGTTAAGGGGCGGTGCCATAAGCATACATTAATTTATTGTTTACAAACTTTTGACAGGTAGGCTGCTGGTTGCCTGTTGGTTTACTAATTTGTTTGTTGACAGAGGTTTGTTAGCCGAATAATAAAACGTTATGTTATCATAATGTATGCCTATGGCACCGCCCCTTAACCGTGTTCGCTTTATTTCGGCTCTGGGTAAAGATACTGTAGTTTGCGTATCTTTGCATAATTCATAAACTGTGGGTCCACGGCCCCGCCTCCGCCAGAGCTGTGTGAAGTGAACACAACAGTGAACAGAGAGTTTTGTGAGCAGCAGAGAGAGAGCAGTGCTGGTCAAGATGGCGTCTCTGCGGATGCTGAGAGTCTCGCTTCTCGTCTTCTTCTCGGTGTTCCTCACGCTCGTCCTCGGCTTCGGCCTGCCGTCAGTGCTTAACCTGTGCGCGCGGGCCTGCGGGTTCCCGGAGACCAGCGTCACCGAGTGCATAGTGCTGGTGTACGCGCTGTTCGTGCTGTACGTAGCCATGCCTCGACTCCCCCGCGGGACACTGACGGTACAGTACACTACACTACACTACAGTACAGGCAAACTCACACTGGAATCAATGTTACTGCTGTTATGGTGCGTGATATAGACATTTATGCATTGCATGTGTGGTATAAATGGTAGTATACATTATGCAACAATGTATCTTTGCTTGTTATTTATTTAGTTTATTTATGTAGCATCAGCTATAAAAATTGGTCCTGCAATAAATGTATATACAAATGAAAATGCATGATATTGTATTTTTTGTATTTTGTCTTTTAATTTCAGGCTTGATAGTGTGAATGAATGATCGAGATATCAGCTATAAAAATGCATGCAATGTGTGTGTGTGTGTGTGTGTGTGTGTGTGTAATTTGTAATTTTAGGGACAGGTTAAAACATTTTTTTAGGTCATGTAAAAATAATTACATGTTATATTATAACATTATGTTATATTTCGTATGCTTTGTTATATTGTATAACATAGTTATTATATAAAAAGTAATATTTTGTTGTTATTATTATTAATTATTTTATTGAAATGAATTTTAGCTAATATAAAGTACCTTTATATTATCATTTATGGTAACACAATCATTCGAGTTGATTTATCTTTTAAACTAAAGCTGGTTATTTTATCAATGACGACTGATTTGAGATCAGCTGACCACAGATTGAAAACCTCCTTCCCGCTCAGACGAGGTGTTGTTCCTCCCTCGCTGGGGCAGTGGATTGTTGGCACACGTTATGAAATATTTACATTGTGTAATATTTCCTCTTTAGGCTGAAGGGAAAGCCGTGCTGGTGACTGGCTGCGACTCTGGGTTTGGACTGGCCTTGGCTAAGCACTTCCACAAGCTCGGCTTCACTGTGTTTGCAGGTTGTTTGTTTAAGGTAATGGTTCACCTATTCCCACTCGAGCTTCTGTTGCGCATCAGTTGATAAATAATCAGAAAACCACCGCAGGCATAAAGTCACGGCCGCTTCAGATGATGAAATATATTTCACAAGATTCTTGCGAATCATTCTTACGTAATGGCAACACGGTGTTCTGTGTGAAACCGTTTCATAATTACAGCAGTATGTCCAACTTTTCATATCAGGGTTATGTAATATTATTATGATATTGTTATTTGTTGATTCAGAGTAATGGCACAGCCTGCAGTGTGTGTAACGTCATGCTGGTTTATTGTGTGTGTGTGTGTGTAATGAGGATGGAGAAGGTGCCCAGGAACTGGAGCGAGTTCATTCGGAGAGGTTAAAGGTCGTTCAGCTGGACGTTTGCAGTGAGGAGCAAGTCTCTCGGGCGCTTCAGTTCGTCACTGATAACCTTGAAGACTCGGAGAAAGGTGAGGCTTGAGACAATACTAGGGATGGGTATCGTTAAGGTTTTATCGGTATTACTACTCTTACTGATACCGCTTATCGATCCGGTACTTTAACGGTATTCTTATCGGTTCTTTTTGGTGTTTTTTATTATTTATTTATTTATTTTAAGAATTAAGAACATAATTAAACTTTATATTTTGAAATGTAAAATAGAAAAACGAAGAAAAATATATTTTTATTATGCAGCAGTGTGCAGGCTTTTTTGTTTATACAAAAAGGACACATAAGAAAAAAACAAGTACAAACACAAGAATACAATTAATCAAAGATACAAATTATATACAAAGTGCTTTAATTTCAGGATACAAACATATCTTGTCAGGTAATTGTTTCTGCCTGAAAAGAAACCTAATCAAATATAAAATAGCACTGTAGTTTATCATAGATAGAATAATGCTTATTAAATCTAAAGTTACTCATTCAAAAGCTGTGAGTGATTTTCTCTGCCTTTTGTTGTTTGATTTGCATTAATGGCTGAATCGTCAGCAGGTTTAGGCTATTAGACTGCTGCCCCTTTAAGACCGAGAGCAAATCTAATCGGTAACTGAAGCACCATCATTTTCTCCCTATTATTTACGTCCATTTAAGACATAACTGTGTTTAAGTGAATAAACTGTGTTTAAGTGAATCTCAGAGCTGGTCATTTTGACATTTTTATGTATATTTGATAGTTAAGGACGCACAAAGCCCAAGTATAGGTTACTTTTCTTGTCTCGTTGGAGTCCGTTTCGGAGCGTGCACCGCCTTGTGAACAGCGTCTCTTGCGCAGGCTTTTGTGTTTTTAATAGCCATTTTCTTCATCTTGCAACAGTAGAAGACAGCATTTTGCAACAATCGTCGATCGTGCTGATTCTGACGGTACGTTTGGGTTTTAGGAAGAACTGACAGCGCTCCGCAGTGCTGTGAAGTAAAGGAAGTTAAGCTGGACAGATCGTTTCGTTTTTTAACGGTTTTATCTCAAATATCTTCTTTTTATAATCTTTGGAAGCCGAAATACAAAATATATTAGAATAATACCCCAGATCTAAAGTGTAACCACGTTGAATGTTTAGTTCTGTCCTCATTGTCACTCATTAAGCAAGGGCTGTCGTGTTGCGTGTGCTGTGGCTTATTTGCGTGAGAGATCGCTCTCTCTCTTCTGAACTGCGAATTGCAAATTTGCATCACAGACAAATGGTTTAATTAAAATATAGTTTATATATAGAAATGGCTGGCGATATAAACATGTTCAAGATAACGTCTTTATAGGAATAATAAATAGTAGCCCAACTTGCGTGTATTTACTTAATTTCTCCAGTACCGACAGCAGAACCGGTAACGTCCGAGCTTATCGATACAGCGGTCTTTCAAAATTCAGTACCGGGGCCCGTTTAATACCGGGTTTCGGTACCCATCCCTAGACAATACTGATGAAAATAGCCACATTTTTTTTTTTTACATTTATTTTAATTATAAAATAATTTATTTTATTTTTTCTTATTTTTTATGTAATTTCTTTCTATTTTGGTTAGTTAACAGTGTTATTTTAGTTTTCATTTTAGCTATATTATATATTTTAAATAAGCTTTCTTTTTAATAATTTTTTTAGTTTTCATGATAATTTCATATAACATTTTATATATTTGCTATGTGCTTTTGTCCTTTTAATATTATTATTTTAAATATTGCAATTTGTGCTTAGTTTGTTTTTATTTATTTATAGGTAATAATTTTAACCCTAAAACCGTATTCTGGACAAATGTGGGCAAAATAGTTTTGATTTATTTTTAAAAAATACTTCCCTTGATTTGAGCCATACAAGACTTGGCTACTTTTCCTAAGTTTGCCTCCTGAACACACACATTTTTTTTTACTCAATTCTACAATGTTAAGTGGGTGAAAAAACCTCCTTCAAAAATGGGCACCCATACAAATGAATGGGAAAAACTGTAATTTAGAGCAGTCTAAAATAAGCTAAAATAAGACACCAGGTGACAGCAAAGTCACTTCATCTTTAGATTTTAGCTCCAAGAACTTATTGGAATGATATTTTAATGTAGTTAAAAAAAAAATCAAACAAAAAAACAAAAAAATAAGCATAATTTACATAGAAAATATGGTACTTTTTGAAGTAAATAAATTCAAAATTACCCCAAAAATAATAAAAAAACACTATAAATGGATAGACAAAACTTTATCAAAGACAGTGATATAACATTTATAATAAATAAAAATTAGGATCACACCCGAGTCCTCTGTGCCCACATTTGTCCACAGTTACAGGATTAAGGGCTTGCAGCTTTTTGGCCCTCTAGTGGTTAAAAAACAAAACTGCATGCATTTTGCAGAAGAACAATGTTTTGATTGTGCGTAATTATATTAAATAACACTGCTCATAAAAAAATGCACTGCTAGGCTTAATAGATAAAACCAGTTTAGATGGAGAGGATCTCAAGCTCTGAAGACGTACTGTATCTTTAACCATTAATAGATTCTGTACTTTTCTTACAACAATTCTTACAGCAACCTCAATGAAATGACTCAGTAGACAAATAGATAATGGTAATATACATATGGTAATTCATCTGTTCAATAATATACCTTACACACCTGTCGAATAATAAAAACACCTTCATCTCTGCGTCACTTTTACAACATTTAAATCCCTCAGTCTCGCCATCTCTGAAAGCAAGCTAATGTTGTTTCTTGTTTTATTACGAGCGCTGTGGCGTTCTCTTTCTCTGTTCTGTTTTTGTTTTTTTTGTGGAGATTTATCGGCTCCGTGTTCTTCAATATGTGAACACTTTTTTTATTCGATTTTTTATATACAATTATATGCAGATTTATTTTTTTTTTCTATTAAAAATCAGGCCTGTCAGTATATTAAAATGATTGATTAGTTGATGCAACGTTTTCCAATTTCAGAAATCAGAATGGTTTTGTATGATGAGTTCAAAATTATTGTGTTAAATACATGCGAGTCATATCTTGCACGTTGCACCGATACTTCAAAAGCATCGCGATTCTCGGAAATTAAACGTCCTTTAAAAAATCCTAAATGTATTAGTCCTGCTCCCCATGGACGTGTGCGTTTGCGGCCACTGCCCGCAGGTCAAACTGTGCAGAATGCGTTCAGTCTGTGTTTAAAATCTGCTCCAGTCGATGGGACCGTCTGTATGTGTGTTCAGTTCAGTCTTAGGATGTTTCAGCTAGTCGTTAGATGTGTCAATGGTTTATGATGACACAGGAAGTATCCTCATAAACCATGTTCACGTTGTCATTATACACATTTATGTCCCCATAAACCGCATACAGGAACTGTGATGGCGTACCACCACTGGGACCAGGGACGTGCACAGGAATTTTGAGGGGCAGTTGCTCTGACCTGAAAAAAGGGCACCCCCCCCCCCCCCCCCCTCCTCCTCCCCCCTCACGGGCTATATGAAGGAATATATTCAGTTGAATTTGTCACCTTCCAAATTGCCTTATCTGGCCGTGTTTATGTCCAAACGCAATGCCTCATCTTATGGTCTTATTATTATTTATAAAGATTGCAAAATGTCAGAGATGAGACAAATGAGCAAAAGAGTTCCTCATATTGTTGTTTATTGTTTTTTTAAATTATTATTATTTATTTATTTATTTGAAAAGAAATAATCTGGATTGAATGGAAAAACTCGAAAAAATAAAAAACGCTTATATTTCTGGAAAAAATATAATCCTTTTTTGCCAATCCTGACCTCCCCCTGCATGGGGCCCTAAGCAAAATTCTGCTAAGGGGCCCTCTACCTGATCTGTGATGCCTTGAGCCATGTAAACCATTTGCCATTGCCACTCAATACCGCCCATACAACCCCCCCTGCTTTAAACAAAACAGTCAAAGAACAAGTACAACAATATAGAACAGAATGAGGTTCAAACAAACAATATTTACTGAATAAAGCATTTTTATAGAATGTTAAGACAACAAGTGAAAATTAACGTAAACATAAATAAGAAGAAAATAATAAAGTACAACCCTGAACTTTGGCTTTTGGGATTAATTTTGATTCACTCTACAGCCAGGGTATTTTCGGAATCAGTAGCTTATGATTTTTATTTATTTATTTTTTTTATGCATGTTGAAGCAAATCTTGATTTATTGTTATTTACTGAGGGATTTGCATTCATATTGACCAGAATGTCCAGCTAATCATCATTTTAAATTCAATATAGCCTATAAATCAATAGTCAATCAATGTCAAATTGCCAATACATTGGTTTCTATCTTGCATAATTAGTGCAGTTGTTTAGAGTTTTTAACTAAACTGAGACTAGATAATCAGTGTCTTTATAATGTGTACTTTGATTGGGAGTGCCATCATTCACATATTGTACAGTATTTCTGGTCTCCACATTTCTGCTTGAAAAATGCCAGTTTCATTTCGTGCACGCGTCGCGCATATCAGTCCTTCCAGAAAAACGCGGAGTTTTTTTGTGATTGTTGCGGGCAAAAATCCTTGATTACGCGGCCCGTTTTCTTTAAAAATGCGATGCAATATGCGGGATATTTATGCAATTTTATGCGATGAAATTGCGGGAACTTGCAAAAATTGCGGGAACTTGCAAAAACTGCGGGAACTTGCAAAAACTGCGGTTTGATGAAAAAGATAAAAAAAGTGATTCCCCCAACATCCTGTTCTCACTAGGCTACTACCTTAATGTAAAGAGTCATTGTTTATTACTTTCTATGATGTAGCAAGCATACTACATCATAGAAAGTGCTGGGAATATTTAATTTCTCATCTTGTTTTATTTTTATTAAATTTTCAAAATCACAGAGTTTGATATCAAGTTCTTGACATTTCTTTTACACATTTTCTGATAAGTATAACATCTGAGAAGTAGCCTAAAACATGAAACAATAATTTGAAAAAAAAAAAAAAAAAAAGAAAAAAAAAGATAGAGGGCATCACAGACATATTAAATTCCTTTAGCAGAGATACAGATCTTTTGGGCTTTTCGATTTTTTTTTTTAAAATTTTAAAGACTCAAAATACATTTTAAAGGCTGTTTTGAAATGAGCAAAGTTGGGTTTTGAGTTAGGCTACTCCACTTAGTTTGATGAATATGAAATTTTCCTAATAATAGAAAAAATCGATAACATACATTTTTCTTATAGGAAAGTCAAAATCATTTGTATGAAGATGACAAATTTAAGACAAGGTTGCAATTCATTTTAAAACCTAGAAATTGAGACATCTCATTCCAAAAGATTGAAAAATAGGGACATTCAAACAATAAGTGCACAATAGACTCTCTTTCACAATTACAAAATCAGCAATGTTTTATTTCAGACTGTAACGAGTGTAAATAAGGTGTGGCCCCTTTAAGAGCTGCGCGCTGAACTGTCTGCAGTGTGTGCGCCTCAAACACCCCATGTCGTGTGCGGGTAATTTCTGTTTGATGCTTATTCTTTTATCTTATTTTGTTTATTAAGTAACGATGTGAACGTGTGACAGACAGTTATACGAGTTCGATTTGTGAGATGTCAATCGCCTCCGTGAGTCTTTCTGGCCTCTGCAATAACTTCAGCTGTGAGCTATCCCGTCGCGTAATTGCGTCACTTCATAACGTTCCCATGGAAACCGGAGGAAATGGCTGCTCTTGTATGAATTCAAACGCAACATTTTTCAACTTTCTGCGAAGATATATGTGACTTTTTTTTGCAACGAAAATACGAGGATTATGAAATCATGCAAGCCCCGCATATTTTGCGTGGAAATCGGCATTTTATGCGGCGAAAGTGCGGCTTATTCGAAAAAATGCGGCCCCCGCATAAATATGCGGACTTTGGCTGATTTTGCATTGAATTCAGCGATCGCATAATCGCGTTTTTCTGGAGGGACTGGCATATGAACGCAACACACGCGACGCGGTTATGTTTTCCGAGCTGCAGTAAACAAACACTGTTGTTGCACTTTGTCGTTTATCAAAAACAAAACGTAATAAATAATGGTATTTTACTCTCACTTTTGTCAGGCAAAAAGTGATGCAAGAGATGCACTGCCTGCCCAGATAGGTTAGCAAGACCAAAAACCATCAAACTTTGCTGACATCAAACTAGAGAGGAGAGAACACATGTTTACCTGACTGCTGTTCCCGCAATTCACTCTCATGTTTTTCTTCTTCCTCTTTTCGTGACGAGAAGGATAGTTTCGCTTCATTTTGTCATGGACTTCGTACACATTAATTAGCGCGCGACACGAGATGGAGGCGCGGCCTGAGTAATCTGAGTAATTTTTTCTGAGTAATTTACCATACACACCGGTCGCGTGCAGTCTATGGTCGCGTGCGGCACTGCAGCCACGTAAACAGTTTGACTTTCACTTTCAGTGCCCGAATGGAAGTGAATGAGGCTTTGCGATTTTTATATTATTTTTTGTCTAGGCCTACGTGAAATTCTCCATTGTACGATTTTTTTTTCCTCGGAAGGGCAACCTGAGTCGAGAAGGGCATATGGGCAGTTGCCCGGGCAACCTGAGCAACCCCCCTGTGCACGTCCCTGACTGGGACGTATTGGTTTACTTATTTGACAAGCTATCCAACCCAAAGAAACTTGAATTGTACCTTTTTTGCAGTGGATGAGCTGGAGTTCCAGCAGGTAGTATCAGACAAAGGATGGATTCCAGTAATCCAACAAACGATTGGTAGTTGATTGAAGAAAGTTGGTTAAAAGGCACAACTTAAATGTCAAAACTAATGTCCAAGTAGTGTTCAATTGTGATTCTATAGCTAAGTAAAGAACTGTATGCTTGTATGTTCCAACAGCTTCCTTGTTCTTTTCTTGTGTTTGAAAAAGTGAGAAGCGGCCATCTTTTTATTCAAACGTTCTCACCAACTGTCAAAATAAAAGTCCCTACAAAATAAAGGATCCTAAAATCAAAATAGCTTCTACAGGAACACACAACTGCAGCCTGATCCTTCAGTGATCAGTTTGTCTTCAGTTTAAATATGATTTATTTCATCATATTCAGGAGAAACACAAGGATCAGCTTCAGTTTTGAGTTTATGTTGGTGAATATTAATAAACTAGTTAACTGGTTTATAGTGTTATGCGCTATTTTCAAGGAAATATATGTTGCTCATGGATCTGGTTTATAGCACATGTGAAAAGTTATTACCAGCCATTAATCTGAAGAGTGCTATTAACTATTAAAGCTCATTTGATTAGAGAGAATAATGACTGTCAATCACTGTGCCACACACTCACACACACATCTACGGCTGTGTAGAATCAAACGACAGATGGCAGAGGAAATGTGGAAATATCAGCTAAACCAGCGAGATCAGAAGTGAAGAAGATTGTCAAAATATTATAAAAATCCTGTTTCTGAAACTAAATGGCCAAAAAGGAAAACTTACCAGCCATGGTGATATAATAGTCTTTTATTATTGCTCTAATGTTGATAATTAAATGCATCACAGTTTAAAACCTGCTGTCAGCTGATTTCTACTTGTACTGTTTTTAAGATGAACAATGAAAATATTTTTCAGATTTACAAAAGTGAGTAAAAAAAGTGAAAAATATATATATATACTGTTTTCAGCATTGATAATAATCATAAATGTTTCATCAGATCATTTCTGAAGGATCATGTGACACTGGAGATTGGAGTAGTGACAGTTACAATCAAAGGAATAAATTCCAGTTTAAAATATATTCATATAGAAAACAGTTATTTTAAATAATAATATTTCACAATATTACAGTTTTTACTGTATTTCTAATCAAATTTTGCCTTTGTGAGCAGAAGAGACTTCTTTCAAAAGCAAAAATATACAAATAAAAATCTTGATTATTCCAAATTATGACTTCCAGTGTTTGTATATATATATTTCACAACTGTGTGAATGTGCTCAGGATGTGTGTGTGTGTGTGTGTTGTGCAGGTCTGTGGGCTGTGGTCAACAATGCTGGCATCTCCACGTTCGGTGAGGTGGAGTTCACAAGCATGGACACGTATAAACAGGTGTCAGAGGTCAACCTGTGGGGAACCATCAGAGTCACAAAAGCCTTCCTGCCTCTCATCCGCAGGGCCAAAGGTGCAGTAAACATACGCATGAAAACGGGCATTTGTTTAAATGAACTTTGGGCTACGGAGTATATGTTATTTGGCTCAGATTAACTCAAAAGTTGCATAGGAATGTTAATATTTTTGCTTCTGTTAATTTGTCCCTGAATTAAAGGAATGTTTGGATCTGAATGGATCAATGATTAATTAAAGCAAATGGACTTTGGAGTGTGTGGCCTGACACACACTTTCACTGTGTTCAATTTTGTGATCCAACATTTTCAGTGAATTTTTATATTTTTTAAATTGTTGTAATGATGCTAAAAACTCTTTCTTCACCAGCGTAAAAAAAAAAGGTTGCCAGCCACCGCCAGCATTTTTGATCCTTTTCACAAAACTTTCATGGGCCCCAGAATATTTTGTTGTATAAATATATCTGACAATGATATAAATCAAATTAAAGCACAGAGCCTCTGCTGAGAAAAATAAAAACACTTAAATAAAACAACATTTTGAGCAAAAAGCGGATGTTTTTGTCAAAGACTACATCTGGATGGGATTCAGAACGATGATCGAAACACAGATGGAGTCTATCGAGTGCATCAACACCCCTGAAGCTTCACAGTCCTGCCGCTCGTCCTGAGTCGACACTTCATTCAGTAACATCAGGCAGTTTTGTTTTATATGCTGTTTCATTTTAATGGTCGCGTTATTTTACATATACATCTGCTTACATACACTGTAAAAATGAATATGCTTTATCTAATCAAAAAACTGTGGCAACAGATTACAAGCAATATTATTAATTAAATTTAACAAATTAGAATTGAGTAATAATTAATCAAATTAATTGCTTAAAAGTTAACCATTTAAAATGAGTAAAATTTACAACAACGACCAAAAAAACATAAATTTAAGTCACCATTATGGTGATCAGTGTTTGTTTTAAAATGACGGTTTTCTCTTTCAGTGATTCAGCTTGTTAACATCAGGTGTCTTCAAATGTTTGCAATATAAAATAAAGAGTTCTTGATTAATCTTTAAAGGAATTAATTTGAATAATTATTACTCAATTCTAATTTGTTAATTTTAATTAATAATATTGCTTGTAATCTGTTGCCACAATTCTATTGATTAGATAAAGCATATTCATTTTTACAGTGTATGATATCACCTTTTTTCTGCTTCGTCTTCGCCTGTGTTTTGATCAGGAGATTTTGTACTCTTTCAGAAGATGCGTAATAGCGCCCCCTACCGTATAACAGTAAAAACACAGAAAGACAGACATTTTCGTCAATGGCGAGGAAAGGGTTAACATATTTTAAAATAGAAAACAGTTATTTAAATTGTAATTGTGTGTAGTCCTCTGCACCGCTCTTAACTTTTTTTGTCTTTTGGTCACAGGTCGTGTGGTGAACATCGCTAGCATGTACGGCAGAATGGGAAACGCTCTCCGATCCCCTTACTGTGTTTCCAAATATGGAGTTGAGGCTTTTTCTGACTGTCTCAGGTATGAAATGAAGGCTTGGGGCGTCAATGTTTCCATCATTGAGCCCGGAAACTTTATCGTGGCCACAGGCATCCTAACGCGCGACATAGTCACGACAACAGCAGAGAAGCTGTGGAAGGAGGCGCCCCCTGGTGTCCAGGAGGACTATGGGAAAGCTCACTTTGAGCAGTACATGGCTCTTATGCGCTCCTACTGCAACAGCGGCCAGCGAGAAGTCGAGCCGGTTTTAGACGACATCACGGATGCCATCATGTCCAAACGGCCATACACACGGTACAACCCTATGGAGCCGCACTGGTGGATTCGCATGCAAATAATGACCCACTTTCCAGCGGCCATCTCTGACAGACTCTACTTCTGATGAGATGCCAGCGTCCTGCAGTCCAGTATATCGGCACAGGGATCATCAATGGATTGTTAACATATGCCATAATGAAACAGTCGAATCAGTATACAACTGTAATTGAAAAACAAAAAACAAAAAATTACACAAATCTTAAAGTGCCCCTATTATGCTTTTTTAAAAAGATATTACTTTTCATCTAGTGTGCAATACAGCAGTGTTTGACTGTAAAAGGTCTCCAAAGTTTCAAAGATTAGAGTGCAGAAACGTTATTGTCTCACAAAAGAAAGAAGTGATTCTGGACTTCCATGAAACGAGTCGTCAGTGATTCCAGCTTTACTTCCTGCTGAAATCGACCTAGCAATGTAGAGCAGACTAATCACAACAGACTGGGCCATCTGACCAATCAGAGCAGAGTAGGTCAATCACAACAGACTGGACCATCTGACCAATCAGAGCAGAGTAGACCAATCACAACAGACTGGGCCATCTGACCAATCAGAGCAGAGTAGGTCAATCACAACAGACTGGACCATCTGACCAATCAGAGCAGAGTAGACCAATCACAACAGACTGGGCCATCTGACCAATCAGAGCAGAGTAGACCATCTGACCAATCAGAGCAGAGTAGACCATCTGACCAATCAGAGCAGAGTAGGTCAATCACAACAGACTGGACCATCTGACCAATCAGAGCAGAGTAGGTCAATCACAACAGACTGGGCCATCTGACCAATCAGAGCAGAGTAGACCAATCACAACAGACTGGGCCATCTGACCAATCAGAGCAGAGTAGACCAATCACAACAGACTGGGCCATCTGACCAATCAAAGCAGAGTAGACCAATCACAACAGACTGGGCCATCTGACCAATCAGAGCAGAGTAGGCCAATCACAACAGACTGGGTCATCTGACCAATCAGAGCAGAGTAGACCATCTGACCAATCAGAGCAGAGTAGACCAATCACAACAGACTGGGCCATCTGACCAATCAGAGCAGAGTAGACCATCTGACCAATCAGAGCAGAGTAGGCCAATCACAACAGACTGGGTCATCTGACCAATCAGAGCAGAGTAGACCATTCCCAACAGACTGGGCCATCTGACCAATCAGAGCAGAGTAGACCATCTGACCAATCAGAGCAGAGTAGACCATCTGACCAATCAGAGCAGAGTAGGTCAATCACAACAGACTGGACCATCTGACCAATCAGAGCAGAGTAGGTCAATCACAACAGACTGGGCCATCTGACCAATCAGAGCAGAGTAGACCAATCACAACAGACTGGGCCATCTGACCAATCAGAGCAGAGTAGACCAATCACAACAGACTGGGCCATCTGACCAATCAAAGCAGAGTAGACCAATCACAACAGACTGGGCCATCTGACCAATCAGAGCAGAGTAGGCCAATCACAACAGACTGGGTCATCTGACCAATCAGAGCAGAGTAGACCATCTGACCAATCAGAGCAGAGTAGACCAATCACAACAGACTGGGCCATCTGACCAATCAGAGCAGAGTAGACCATCTGACCAATCAGAGCAGAGTAGGCCAATCACAACAGACTGGGTCATCTGACCAATCAGAGCAGAGTAGACCAATCACAACAGACTAGGCCATCTGACCTATCAGAGCAGAGTAGACCATCTGACCAATCAGAGCAGAGTAGACCATCTGACCAATCAGAGCAGAGCAGGTCAATCACAACAGACTGGGCCATCTGACCAATCAGAGCAGAGTAGGCCAATCACAACAGACTGGGTCATCTGACCAATCAGAACAGAGTAGGCCAATCACAACAGACTGGGTCATCTGACCAATCAGAGCAGAGCAGGCTCTCGGATAAGAGGTTAAAGGCCAATTTTTACTTCTGCGTAGGGTGCGCGCGGTTGGTACGGCGTAGCATACGCACAGTCCCATGCCGCATACCCTTCGCCGTACCCTGACGCGCA